TTATCCTCACCCGAGGACATTTTTTGTTCAGGTACAGTGGGAGGAAGAGAGAGGAAGAGAGAGAGAAAGAGAGAGAGAAAGAGAGAGAGAGAGAGAGAGAGAAACATCGATGTGAAAGGGACACATCGAGTGGCTGCCACCCACACGACCAACCAGGGCCGGGGACAAACTGCAACCAAGGTACATGCCCTTAGCGGGAACCGAACCCGGGTCTCTAGGGACTGCAGGCTGATGCTCTAACTGCTGAGCCAAACTGGCCAGGGCCATTTTATTTTTTTAAATATTTTTTCTTTATTGATTTTAGAGAGAGAGGAAGGGAGAGGGAGACAGAGATAGAAACATTGACAAGAGAGAACATCGATTGGCCGCCTCCTGCATGCCCCCCACTGGGGATCGGGCCCACAACCTGGGCATATGTACTGCCTGGAAATTGAACCAGCGATCTCTTGGTGTGTGGGATGACACTCAACCCCTGAGCCACACCGGCTGGGCATATCAATTCACATTTCAAAATTGAGATTACTATATAACCCATGGGTCAACTTCCTAATAGCTGTTTGCATTGTGGAAATTCAAGGAAAAGTCAATATATTAACTGTGTAATACTTACAGCCCCTACAGCTACCTGCACGCCCTCTTCTCTAATCACAGGCCTGGCTTTACTGACAGCTGTCAACACCAAAACAAGTTATTTCTCCTGAGAAGAGAAAAAGGAGAAAGCCTGATAACCCCACTTCCCAGGCTTAAGCACTCGGTGAGAATAATCACCACTGCTTCGCGTTGATCACACGCCGAGTACTGTGGAGCCAACAAGGGGGAGTCAACAAAGACAGACAGTAAGGGCAACCAGGAGGATGGAGACTGGAGATGGGAGCATGCAGACACGAAGTGGAGGGCAGCCAAGGCAGGCAAGAAAGAAAATTCTGCAGCTTGGCCAAGACTCACGTCCTGCTGCTGCCCCAAAGCGCAGAGGTTCTCACCACCCTGAGGTGCAGATGGACCCCATGCACCACCAGAGCTGAAGGACGCACTGCCACGTCATAACAACAGAAAATCATGAAGCCACCATGAAGCTACCACGGTGAGGGCTATGTGGGTGGCAGATGGGAGTGGGTATGCTGAAGACCATCTTCCCATACAAACGCCAAACTGAGTATCTGTAAAAGTTGTGGATGATATTGGAAGAGAAAGTGCACATAATTAGACAATAACAAGTACAGGCATGTAAACCAGCCAGCACATACTGAGCTGGTCACCCTCTATGACTGCCAGCTTACACAAAAGCAGCTCAAATAAGTGTGCAGATTCAGAATCACTGAAGACACTAAGTCAGTGTCATATGATGCATCTGCTCAAATTACAGCCCTCAGGCCACGTTCTGATTGCTGGTGGGAAGATCTCAAGGGGCCCAGCTCTAACCTAAATGCTCACTGAGAAGAAAGATTCTTTGCAAGCAAATTCATCCACTGAGCCGTGTGTTTTCATAAACTGAGTTGGGACCTTGAAGGCCTTACTAAGCCTTTGACGAGAGCCACTCACAGACTCTGTGGGCTGAGTTCCTCATCTCCAGATGAAGGACATCACCATCTGAAAGCTCACTACAGGGTTACTTGGAAAGGTTAATGAAATACCAGTGCCTGGGCACCCTGGGGGGAATAGCAATACTATTTTGAGTTAGGCCTTAAATCCTTTCATCCCCTGGGCCTTTGGGAAGTGCCAACTGGAAACACTGACCCTCACATTTCACTTGACCCTCAGGCTACAGCTTAATGAACAAGCAGTTAATAGATCTTCTAGTCTTTTTTCTTAAAACCAAATACCAGTTGCATGAGCAAGCTGCTCACAGTGAAAACAACTGTTCACATCTACTGCCACCCTCAGATCACAATCATTTCCCCCAAGAGAGACTGAACACCTGCTAAGAGTTGTAACGGGGACTGTGTACACCTCCCCAGACCATATTTATAAGAATCTTTTGATGGCACTGCGGCTTCTGCATTGCTAGACTCATCCGCTCAGTCCCTAGCAGGAATTAGTTGTGGCATAAACTAACACCGTGCCAAGTTAAGTTTTTTGGGGGAAATGGTTATTAGTTTACCTAAAAGTTTTTGTTTTAAATAAAAAATTAAAATGACAAGCATAACAAAATATAAATCCTGACTTTTACATTTCTATTTAACAGCTTCAAACTCCCATTTAGAGCATTTATCCATCGGTGGTATCAAGAGAGAGTTTTAGCCCTGGCCAGTTTGGCTCAGCGGTTAGAGCGTCGGCCTGTGGTCCGGAGAGACCCGGGTTCAGTTCCCGCTAAGGGCACGTACTTCGGTTGCAGTTTGTCCCCGGCCCTGGTTGGTCGTGTGGGTGGCAGCCACTAGATGTGTCCCTTCACGTCGATGTTTCTCTCTCTCTCTCCCTTCCTTTCTCTCCCTCCCACTCTATCTGTACAAAAAATGGAAAAATATCCTCGGGTGAGGATAAAAAAAAAAAAAGAGAGAGAGTTTTAACAAACGCCTGATGCTATGGTGCCTCGCTACGCTGCACGGCTGTGAACAGCAGGCTCACTCTCATCCGTCAGCAGCGCTGCTGAACGCTGAACCCAGGGTGATGTTCTGTTAGTCAGGATGCATAATGCTTACCCGTTAAGAAATTTACATCTAGGAAAGTGCTTACCCTGCACCCCACTTTCATTTCAGAAATGATCACTGAAGTGAGAAGGCTCAGTCCATTTCACATTTCCTTTTACAGTGTTACTTCCTCCTGCACAAACCCAGGGGAGCAGAGAAACTTTTATAACCTGAACATAACTCCATGTAAGACCTTAACCTTGAGCTTGAAAGAAAAGAACACTAACATATAGACCGGACTGCACAAAAGATGGATCGGAACTATGTTTTTACGGTAGTGTAATCACACAGAAACTTCATTTCTTTAATATGACCTTTTCTCCTTCTTTTTGATTCCAACTGGCCTCAGCCAGCACCTGGGCCCACCTGCTTCCTCCTCCCTTGCACAACCACTCACTCAATCATTAAGTCTTCAGGACAATGAGGTTCTGATCAGCATCAAATAATCTTATTTTCTATTTTCTAATTGAATTTATTGGGGTGACATTGGCTAATAAAATTATACAGGTTTCAGGTACATAATTCTATAATACATCATTTGTATATTGTATTGTGTTTATCAGTCCAAGTCAAGTCTCCTTCCATCATCATTTATCCCCCCTTTACCCTCTACTGTCTCCCCCTTTAACCCCTTTTCCCTCTGGCAATCACCATACTGTTGTCTGTGAGTTGTTGTTTTTGCTTAATCCCTTCACCTTTTTCACCCAGCCCCCCAGCCCCCTCCCCTCTGACAGCTGTCAGTCTGTTCTTGTATCTGTTTGATGCTGGACAAAATAGAAACAAACTCATAATCTTAGGAACAAAGCCTTGGGTCTATTGACCACAAAGACAGAGTTATTTCTAGTTAACCACAGATAACATCTAGGCCTCGGTTGTGTTTCAGCTCCAAGCTCAGAAAGTAGCAAAACCAAATGAAGTGACCCCATGGCTGACATCAGGACCAAATGCATTGATCAACTACCCCCTACCCTAGCCCTGACCTATCAGTAGAGACCATGACCCTGACCATAACCCTAACTCCCTTGGTCACATTGATCAGTGATTTTTTTCCCCTATATAACCCACCCCCTGGAAGCCACTGGGGAGCCAGGTCTTTGAGCATTAGTTCACCCTGCGACTCCAGCATTGGGCCACTCCCTAAAAAATAAGTCGTTACTTTCTTTGCTGCAAGCTTCTGTTTGCATCTTATTGAGCTTTGGTACGTGCAGGCAAACAGACCCTGTCAGTCTGGTAACAACAGCAAGAAAACAAAGGGAAAAATATAACTGAAGGCTCATGAGTCTAAATGCGAAGAAAACCAGTTTCCAGATAACGCGAAGAAAAAGAACTTGGACATGGGTTTAAATAATTCAATCCTAGTGAGCTTTCTGTGCTGTGTTTCAGTGATACATTATCAGTATAATCCCTAAAATACAACTTCCACGTATGAAAGAGAGGAGCTGTCGACTTGGGGTACTTCACGGAGAAAATAAATGCCGGGGAAATAATATACGCTCCATTGCCAACACACAGACACAATTAGTGAACAAAATATCCTGTGCTCATGAAAACATTCCCAGGCCAGCCCCTTCCAGAGCACCACCCCTGGGGCTGGCTGGCTGACTTCTGCAGTGCCTGGATGAGCCTCACACTGGTTCACCACTCACTGTGGGAGGAGTATGGGGTCACCCAGCACACAGCCACCTTCTTCACATGTATGATTTCTCATGGAAGTTTTCCTTTTGTTCAAATCTCCTTTCCTCAAGCCAGCAGACAAATAAAAAGAAGTGCAAGGGACAAGTAGAACACCCCCCGCCCCCCGGCCAAGGTCAGGGCGTATTAAATGCTGATGACACCTGCATGTCTATGCCATAGCGCTGTTCTGAGGACTGAAAGGGAGGGGCGGCAGGTATGACACTCGGGGCACGCACCTAGCCAAATGAAGCACACAAACAATACAAGCTACTGTGATTTCAAAGCTGATGACATCCTGGGCATTTAAGGCAATAACTTCTGTATAAATCAATTGCTAGCCAAAATGAAAATTTGGAAGTAAATTATCAGTAATTCCAAGAAAGGAAAAAAAAAATATATTTTGTGTTCTTCAACTAAGACACTTAACGACTATTTTTCTGCCTGCGGTTTAGAGCACTCGGATCTCGTCTCGTTACCGACCAGACTCTTGCCCCTGCCTCACCCACATCTCTGAGCAGAAGGCAACAGGCGGACATCCTAGGTTCCCGGAGTCTTCCGTAGCGATGATACAATGAACGACGCAGGGACAAGCTGTTCCCCGGCCCTCTGACATTCAGGCTCATTATGATACTAGTTCCCAGATAATTACAGATAAGACCAACAGAAAGCTTTATTTTAATAAAGTGGGGGAAGGCACAGTACCTCTAATCGTTGTATGCGTCCCTTGAAAAACATAAAGAGGGAGGAGTTCGGATAAGCAGCTTCTTTTCTGAGAAGAATCTCCTTCGCTTCATCCAGGCCTGCTTTGTTATCACTGCCATCCAGGGCAAAAAACGGGCGGACAACAGTGTGATACCAGAGCAGAGCTAATCTAAAGGAAGAGGAGACAGACGGTGAGCAAAAGACGTTCCTTGTAGTGCTTCTACTTCTAAAAATCAATGTGTTCTAGCCCCCTGTACTCCTTCCTAAAGCTTACTACGCAACTGGAATATCTTGCCCCATTTTAATTTTATCAATATTTGGAAAACTGCAACTTTAGCACAACATATAAATCAACATACTCTCTTTCATCGGGGGAGAGGAGAATGACAGATGCATTTAGCTCTTCTGAAGTCTTCCACATGAACCTCTACTCCTTACTCATCAATGCACAAACTAGAAACAGTAACGGGTTACCATGAATTTAGAGGCCTTTTCCTTCTAAGGAAAGCATTACTTGTTGCAAAAGGAAAATGTTGTTGTGTTCACAAAAGTTAGTATGTACAGAATCTGAATTTAAATACAAGAACCACAGGCAAAAAACATACGTAATTGGGTTAAAATAGAAATGAGAGGACCAGACAAAAGGCCCTTTGAGGATGCTCAATTTAAAAAAACAAATAATTACTTATGTAGTTTTTATGTAAATGTGTGCTTCTAGCATACTCATAAATTTGGTTCTCTTTTGGAGATCAGGCTAATTTACATTATTAATTCAATCCATTCCTTTCTCAGAAAATAATATTAAGATATAAACATAAATTATCACAAGTTACAAATCCGTTAAGTCAAATTAATAAAGGACCAGTTTGTATATGGTTTGGGGAGGCACAAACATTTCTGAAATGAAAAATTAATGATCTCTTTAATAGCTACCACTGATGAAGGGTTAACATACAAATTCCTTAATACTGACATGATTAGAAATCAAGTTCACCAAGGTTCTCTGTGCTATCAACATTCTGGGGGAAAAATTTTGACAAGTGGTATAATGTCAAAGGACATTAGTGTCCAGTAAAATTATTCGAATTGCAAATGGAAGCTATCAAATTTTTAAAAATCACATCATTTTTAACTGATGAAGTAATGGGTAGACCCTTGCCCTGGACAGTACACTCTCGTGTTTAAGTAACTGTCATTTAAGCTTAGACTGAACAATATGACTCAATAGCACAAAATATCCAAAGCCACATATAAGAGACCAGTGGACCACCAACAAGAATCATCAAGGAAAATTACCAAATATGAGGACATACGAATAAAAATGTCAGGACCACAGAAAAGTCTTATCAAATCTGTATTCTTTAAGTCCAAAAATCAGAACTGTGAATCTCAGTGACTGCGATCAAGGTCACAAAAATTGCTTATAAAATCACTGAAGGTTGAAAAACAGGATCATTTTACCTGTTTAAATACAGGACTCATGCATGAGCCTTAAGAACAGCGCCCCGTTCTCGAAAGGCAGCTTTGATAAACCCCACCAAAACCACGGTCCCTGGTGCTGCACTGAACGACATTAGCATGGCATCATGTCAACCAAACAAGCCTTTTACCTGAGGTTTCCTTTAAAGGTCTGATCGCTGTTCACTTACTTTCAACACTACATTACCTACCAAAGCATTGCAATATAGCTACTCACGTAGCTAAAGGGGCCTTCATGTCCTTACTTTCGCTTGCATACATCAGTGAAGAAAGCCCCTGCAGGCGGTCTCCAGGAAAACCCAGCAGGTTGATGATTTTGAGCAGGTTGGGGGGCACCATGGATATGCAAAGGTGAAAAAGGCCATATCCAAAGCTAACAGCACCTTTCAGTCTGTTTAGAGACTCCTCAGACACCCCTTCAGTCACAATGTGATTATCATTTGCAGCGTCAGAAGGCAAGGGTTCTTCCGTTAGCTTCTTCTGATACAGTTCCTGGAGGGCATTGATGTCCAGGTAGCATTTATTATAAATCTTCCAGGCTTTCCTAAGGATCCACCCACCTTTGATATATGCTATCAAGAGAAGGGGAGAAAAGCATGACAAAAATAAGCATTCAAAATAATTTCCCTCTATTAATAATGAAGGATATGAAAGAATCTGAAACTCGAGCACAATTTTTTTTAAAAACAAGCAAAAAAATGATCGTCTGCATCATTTTTAAAAAAAAAAATGCACCATGTTTTCTTTATAGGGCTTAAATTCTTTGTGTGCTGTTTCCCTTTAGTCCACTGTATTTCTGTGCTCACTGCTGTATCAAGCCCCTCAAACACTAGTTAGGGCCTAGTCTAGTACACACGGGGAGCGCAGGAGCGAGTGGGTCATCACTTGAATTTGACTTTTCTTCAGGTGTTCTGTGAACACAAACCTCTCCATCTCTGAGCTACCAAGGCGCTTTCCTGATGAGCCTCTTTGGTTAACTCTCACATTTGTCTCCCCGGCGGTTCATTCCTCAAGGGCAAGCTCTAAGTCTAATTCACTGCTAAATGTACACCCAAGCACCAAGCATGGAGATTTCACCAAAAATGAAACGAGCAACAAAAAGGATGGATATTTATTGGGTAAACAAATGGCCGGTTTATTAACAAAAGAGTCATTAGTGTTAAATGCAGAAATGTATCGAATCCCCAGTTCATCTCTAATGCCTCCTGGAGGCTTGGCCGCACAGTGGGGTGACTTGACCTGGTCTGTGGCAATGGTGCCCAGCCACTGTCTCAGCCTAGGGAGATCCAGTGAGAAGGGGGGCAGAGGGTGAACATCTTATTTTTTAACGCTGCTTCCAATGGGGCAGTTTTTGCTAACAGAGCCCTCTTGAGAGTGTGTGCCACAAAGAAGATATCAGAGATAAGACCTGGGATTATCCTTCCCCAGGCCCCAATGGCCCCTCTCAGACAAGCCTCAGGCCCTGCCTCAGCCTCTCCTCCTGGGAACATTTTTCCCTTCTGATGAGGAACGGAAGAGGGAGTCCATTTATTAGTGCTTCTCTGAGTGCATCATCACCACATTTTTGAGAAAAAGGTCTTCCACAGGGAATTTTCTATAGAACAGTCCTCTCATAACTGCAGGAGGGAGCTCATCCACTTGGCACTGGTACCAATATGGCATCAACTCTCTGACCCCAATGTACAAACAGAAGGCAACCTGAACTGTCCCAGAACAGCAGGAAAAAAAGTTTTAAAGAGATACGCTTAAATTATAGAAAAGATGGAGCACAAAACCGAATTTATAAGGGTCCGATCCCTGAACTGAAAGTGATCTAAGAATATATGTTATGCACAGAAAAGAGTTAATGCAGCAGGCTCACTGCTATCCTTTGAAAGACCTGCTCCCATTGTTGGCCTTTGGCTGATATCTGGGAACTTGGATTTGGGAGGGTTCCCACCATTCCCAGAACTGATAAGAGTGGATCATTGTGCCTACATTGCTTGTACAAACAATGTGTTTTATGTTGAACACCTGCTTTCCTTCTGGGAGTCTGGAATTTGGGTATGTGCAAGGCAGAGGGTGCCAACATGGTAGCACCCCATGAAAACCTGGGTCTTACATCTCTAACGAGCTTCCCCAGTTGGTAACATCTCACATGTAACATTTCACACGTTGCCTTGGGAATTAAGCGCATCCTGTGTGCCTCTACTGGGAGAGAACCCTGAAGCTGTTCCTGGACTCCACCCCATCCATCTTTTTCTTTGCTGATTTTGCTTTGTAACCTTTGCTGTAATAAATCAAAGCCATCAGCACGATTACAGGCCGAGTCCCTCAAGCGTATCATTGAACCTGAAAGTCGAGAGGACCCCAATCCATGGAATCAAGCTATCATTTTACTTCAATGTGTCAATTTTCTGACAAATGATGATCATATCTCCTATGAGACCACAATTCAAAACTATCCACAAATTCTAGATAATTAACATCCCGTAGCCTAAGTCCACTGAATGAACAAGCAAAGTAATATATGTTTGAAACAATTTATTTTCTTCAATTCAATTTAACAAAAATATTTGAACAAATATCACCTTTCGGGCACCAAACAAGAAATAAGACATGGACCCTGCCTTTAAGGGGCTCACTGACTTCTTCCATCCTAAACAGAAGTACTGGGAAAAATGTTTGAGAAAACCCTGAAGTCTTTGTATGCTGACAGAGTATTTAGGCTGATCCAGGACGCCCACAGGCATGACTCAGTTATGATACAAAAGGCCAGAGACTAAATAGAAAAAAAAAAAGAGAGAGAGAGAGAGAAAACTAAGTTATATATTCTGAGAACATACAAGCAATTGAGATCTAACTGAAAAGAAATAAACACTGGCTACGGGTAAAAAAAAATAAATAAAACTTTCTAAACCTTAAAAAATATTCATTAAGTTCCTATTATGTGCCTAGGACTGTTCTTGGCACCTGAGGGATAGAAAAGAACTTTAAGACATAAATAATATCAGCCCTCCAAATGCCTACAATAAAATTAAAAATAAAACAAATGAGCCCTGGCCGGTTTGGTTCAGCGGCTAGAGTGTCTGCCCATGGACCAAAGAGTCTCGGGTTCTATTGCAGTCTGGGCCACGTACCTTGATTGCAGTTTGGTCCCTGGCCCTGGTCGGGATCATGTGGGAGGCAGCCAATAGATGTTTCTCTCTCTCTCTTTCTCCCCTCTCTTTCCTTCCCACTCTATCTGAAGATAAATGGAAAAAATATCCTTGGGTAAGGATTAAAAACAACAACAACAAATGAAAGAAATAACTGGGTAACAACACTATACAGGGTTGGGCAAAAGTAGGTTTACAGTTTACGCTTGTATTACTGTAAGCCTACTTTTGCCCAACCCTATATATCTATGGTTACTTGTGCTCCATTGAGTCATACATAGAAAATGAAAACAAACAATGTTGAAATTATGGGTGAATTGATTTTTTTTTTTTTTTTTGTTACTCCTCACCCAAGGATATTTTTTCCACTGATTTTTAGATAGAGCGGGAGGGAGGGAAGGAGGGAGAAAAACATCAATGAGAGAGACGCATGGACTGGTTGCCTCTGCATGACCCCAACCAGGGCTGGGGATCGCAACTGCAACCCACGTATGCCCTTGACCAGGAATCGAACCTGAGACCCTTTGGTCCAAGGGCTGATACTCTAACCACTGAACCAAACCGGTCAGAACTGAGGTGTTTTTTTTTAATTTCCTTTTTGTCATTAGATTGTTTTCTATGTAACACATACCCAAGTTAGAAAGTGCAAAATAAGTATTGCAGGATTTCAGCAGAAAACTATTCCTTCCTACCCCATGCCTAACTGGAAATTTAGAGGGAGAATTTTAACTCCATCTTATCCTGTATTTTCGAGGCTACTACAGCATTTTTAAGGGGGTTGAGGCCAAGGAAAGTGGGGACACCGGGACAAACGTGTGTAGGGACAATGTGCTCGGATTACGGGGCCCCTGGTGTCCAGCTGAGGAATGGACACCAGCACAGGAAAGGCAGGGACCTTCTAAGATTTGGGGGTGAAGGGACCAGTGTTGGGGAAATGAACTGTAGTCATCCAGGTCTCAGGGGAAGAGGTACAGAAAAGGCTGGTAACGACAGAAACAAACACAAAACTCCAGCAATGCTAACTAACTGCGCAGAACTCAGTGAACAAACAAAACAACACCGGCAAGGTGAACACCCGTTTATAGAGAAGAAAAATGAAAGTGAAATTAATTCAACATGTCTTTAATTTCTTGCCTGAGACAGGAGCTTAGGTGCTAGTGTTTAAAAACACATGTTAACGTTGATAGTAAGTAACAAGCTTTTATGAATTTCATTTCAGCCAGGTAAACAGAGCCCAAAGTCCTGACCAAGTCAACAATTATAAACTGAAATATGTGCAAAATAAAGTTAACACACACGTAGAGAAACTCTGTTTTTATTCCTTTCTAAATTCAACTTGTCGAAACAGTTTCCCCGGGACCTGCCCTGCTCCTGGCCCCACATTCTGTGACGCAGCGGCCTGAGCACAGCCATGCCCGCGGGGGGCCGGAGCCAGGCTGAGCGAGCATCCGGCGGAGCAGGGGGGCTCCGGCAGACAGCAGGCAGCAGCTCAGCGCCTGCAGGGACAGCGATGTGGCCAGTGAGCACACATCGCACAACGAGCAGAGGAGCCGTATCCAGAGCCCCGCACTCGGCATGGCCTTCCATATGGCTCCTTTGAAAGGTCAAATATAAATCATTCAGTCACTATTATCTGTGCTTGTGGAGAAAGACACAGAGAGCGGAAAACCAGACCATTTGCCCTCCCCTAGGGGGCCCAGCCTCTATCAGCTGGGGGATGTAGGGGAGAGAGGAAACCCTGACCCCATCAGAGGGGTGGGTGGGGTGGGGGAGTCCTTTCTGGGAAAGGGCCAGAGTTGTCTGGAAAATGAAACTATCAAGTTATACCAAAATGATCTTGGGGGAAAATGTGTCGAAGTTTCTGTGGGGCCTGTGTCTGGAGAGAGCTCCTATAGAGCATTTTGCCTGTTCACTTGCCCTGGATGAGGCTGGTCAGCCCTACAATGGAAGGTAAGTTCAGGCCTGCCTTTCTTGTGACCCACAGAAGAGACTCTGGAAGGGAGAACAGATGTCTTTGCTAGTCAGCCTACCTCCTCATTACTATCTTGATCCCCAGTCAACAGCCGTCCAAGAGACTCACTTCTCCAATCCCAGCTATTCTTGGGGCTCAATGTCATGCATCTCCTTCCTGAATGGCATCATCTTTCCTTTAATCCACATAGCACACACCTTCCACATGCTAGGCAAAGGTACCAGATCATGTGCCGGGGACCTAGAGAAGAAGATGGACTTTTGTTCTTTGTAACCCTGCTCAAGGACAGGATCAGGGATCCCTGATCTTCCCAGGCCGAGATCAGGAACTGCTCATTCCTTGTGCATCCTCTATGCCTAACTTCTATGTCTACTGTTTAAAGTGTCGCCTAAATTATAATTTATTTACTCCTCTTTCTCCCTGCTAAGTCATCAGTTCCCTCAGGGCAAGAACTCTATTTCATTCATCTCTAGACCATTAACATCTATTACCTCACAGTGCCTGACACAGTGTATGTACTCAATAAATATGGAAGCAAAAGACAGCAGGTAGACAGAAGTTCCTGCCTCAAGGAGTCTGTAGTCTAATCCTGTAGATAGACATGTAAATAACATTTTGTATTGCTGTGTGATTCATTCTCTGGCTGACTATGTACAAGGACACACAGAGCACAGATGATGCAGTCAACGAGGAAGAAGTCCAGGAAGGAAGCTGGCCTGGGCTGCACCTGGAGAGGCGAGAGAGAGAAGAGGTGGGGGTGCTCCAGGCTGAAGAGGGCAGCGTGCAAAAGGCATGAGGCAGCAAAGGGCATTCGGGCAGCCGCAAGCTTTGCTTAACTAGCTGCTGGGAAGGGGGCCGGGTCGTTGCACACCAGCTTGGGAAGGAATTTGGACTCTCCTCTGTTGGTGATGCAGAACAGCTAAGTGTTTCAAGCACAGATCTGCCAAGCTTTGGAAAGATGGTTCCAATGGCCACATGGAGAATGTGGCCTGGAGAAGCGTGAGCTCACAGCAGGCCGTTGTACTGTTCCAGGGGCTAGTTCCCTGGGACCGTAGGGAGAGAGTGCACATGGTGGTGAGGGAGAAGGTCTGAGAGATCCGGGTTTCTGAGCCACTTGGAAGGTGGTGGCTCCAGTGACCAAACGAAAGTGATGGGAAAGTGATGAGAGCACAGGAATTCAGGGTGAAATAAGAAACCCATGGCTCTGTGCCGGTTTTGTCATCACTAATAAACTGTGAACGTTCGACCTCAGTCACATTGTTCAGCCTCAATGTCCTCCCCTGTAAAATAAGGAAAGCAACCTCCTCATTCGCTGAGGAAGTCACTGCGCATATATCATGTCCAAGAGAGGGAGACGACGGCCCGCCTCGAAGTCCAAGAGGAAATAAAACATAAAACAAGGTGGCAAGTACCATAAAATAGGTTTTAAAAATAACTTTTTAGCTTAAAAAAAAATAACTCTTTATTACAAAAGTAATTAATATATGTTCACTGAAAAAACCGCCCTTGGATAATACATTTTAAAGATACTTATAAATAGTATGGGAAAATGAAGAGCGAGCAATTAAATATAAAGAAGTTCAAATGAGGTAAAGAACAAGAACTCTTAAAAGTATGAAGCATTGCCCTGGCCAGTTTGGCTCAGCGGTTAGAGCGTCGGCCTGCGGTCCGGAGAGACCCGGGTTCGGTTCCCGCTAAGGGCACGTACTTCGGTTGCAGTTTGTCCCCGGCCCTGGTTGGTCGTGCGGGTGGCAGCCACTCGATGTGTCCTTTCACGTCGATGTTTCTCGCTCTCTCTCCCTTCCTCTCTCTCCCTCCCACTCTACTGTACAAAAAAATGGAAAAATATCCTCGGGTGAGGATAAAAAAGAAAAAAGAAAAAAGTATGAAGCATTAAAACACACACACACACACACACATGCCCTGGCTGGTTTGGCTCAGCGGTTAGAGTTTCAGCCCATGAACCAATGAGTCACGAGTTCAATTCCAGACAAGGGCACGTACTTCAGCTGCGGCTCGTCCCTGACCCTGGTGGGGTCGTGCATGAGGCAATGAGTCAATGTGGCTCTATCACATCAATGTTTCTTTCTTTCTCCCCACCCCCCCACCCCCCCACTCTATCTGACAATAAGTAGAAAAACATCCTCAGGTGAGGAATAAAAAAATAATAATATTCACATATTCACACATGCCTGGCTGGTGTGGCTCAGTGGACTGAGTGTCATCCCAAGGACTGACTAGGTCAGTTCCCAGTCAGGGCACATGCCAGGGTTGTGGGCTCGATTCTCAGAGGGGTGCCTGCAAAAGGCAGCCAATCAATGATTTTCACTCATTGATATTTCTATCTCTCCCTTCCTCTCTAACAATCAATAAAAACATATACAGCCCTGGCCGGTTTGGTTCAGTGGTTAGAGCATCAGCCTGTGGTTCTGGGTTCGGTTCCCGCTAAGGGCACGTAACTCGGTTGCAGTTTGTCCGCAGCCCTGGTTGGGTTGTGCGGGTGGCAGCCACTTGATGTGTCCCTTTCACCTTGATGTTTCTCCCTCTCTCTTTCTCTCTCTCTCTCCCCCCTCTCTCTCCTTCCCACTCTATCTGAATAAAAATGGGAAAATGTCCTCAGGTGAGGATAAAAAATGTGTGTATATATATATTCAGTTTCACTAATAACCAGAAAAAAAATAGCAAAGAACACCTGAATGCCCCAGAGAAATTGTTAAGTAAATTACAGAAAGATCATGATAAATTAACATACTATTATTTTAAATTATATTTTGAAACTGAGTGATGGGGCAGTATATAAAATATAATCTAGAAGGAAAAAGTAGAATACAAAGCACTATAGATTCAACTTTGGAAAAGAAATATACAGAAATATAAAATAGATCATTAGCAATAAAGAGTGATTTTCTCCAAGTGTTGAGATTAGTGATGACTTGCTTTCTTTCTTTCTTTTATTTTCCATAACAGTATTTAGTAACTTTAAAATCAGAATAATTAAAAAAATTAACTACTACTAACTGGTAATGCTAAATTTCATGGGGGCAGAGACCATGACCTGGGTTTGCTCATATAACACAGTGCCTAGCACACTGAATGTGTTCAACAATTATCTGTGAATGGACCAATGAAGGACAGATATACTCCCTTTTAAATGTTTATATACTTGCAGACTTAGAGAAGAGATGCAAGATTAATACAAAGAATGTCCAGATACCCTTTACTTGTATTCCCCAAACATTTTACTACATTTGATTTAGCCTTCTCTCAACAGATTTTTAAAAAAATTTATTTTATGCCCTGGCCGGTTTGGCTCAGCGGTTAGAGCGTCCACCTGCGGTCCGGAGAGACCCGGGTTCGGTTCCCGCTAAGGGCATGTACCTCGGTTGCAGTTTGTCCCCGGCCCTGGTTGGTTGTGCGGGTGGCAGCCACTCGATGTGTCCCTTTCACATCGATGTTTCCCTCTCTCTCTCTTCCTCTCTCTCCCTCCCACTCTATCTGTACAAAAAATGAAAAAATGTCCTCGGTTGAGGATTTAAAAAAAAAAAAAAAAATTTATTTTATGTTTGTTGATCCTCACCTGAGAATATTATTCCATTGATTTTTAGAGAGAGTAGGAGTGAGGGAGAGAGAAAGAAAAACATACATCGATGTGAGAGAGACATATCAATTGGTTACCTCCCATATGACCTCTACAGGGGCTGGGGATCGAACCTGCAACCCAGGCACATGCCCTTGACCAGAATCGAACCCAAAACCCTTCAGTCTATGGTCCAATGCTCTAACCGCTGAGCCAAATTTTCTTAATGGCTAAAATTAGCTCCCTAAAAATATCCTTAAGTGTAGGGAAAAAGCAGTACCAGGTCACAGAAAACACAAAGCTCCTGTCTTGACCCCCAAGAGGCCCAGAGAGTCCCACTGCTCTCTTACACACACCAGTGGCGCACGGTGGGGATTTTACAGTACTGCACTGCAGAAAACTGAGGAGCTAGATGCCCACACTCACATAAGTAAGGTTGTTGTTGGGACAATCCTGAGATGAACATTAAAGAGAAAAAATAATCATTAAAATAAAGCAGAAGACCAAAGTACAATCATAAAACATATTTAAAGAGAAGGATAAATTCTAGGAAGTCCCATCCTCAAGTAGGAGATAAAGAGAGAAGAGAATTGAAGAGATGGGAAGAGAACTAGTTTCTGGTAGTCTAGGAAGAAAAGTAGGTATTATAACTTAGCAACATACATCTCTTCATTTAAGGTTTGTAAGAAAATGCTTTTGTGATTGCGAATTTTAATTGATTTCCTTTCCAATATTCTTTTTCTTCCCACCAGGTAAATTATACCTACGTGGCCTACTTCTGTCATATCAGAGCGATACATAACCACATAAGCCAAAGAATTAGTGTCCACATTGGGCACAGTCTTACAGAAAGCTATCAGAAACTCAATTTGAGTCTATACCACTCAAGATATTAAAGCTACAATATTGGAGAAAACATCTCTCTTGAACCAATTAAGAAATTAGTTTCTCTCTCTCTCTCTAAAGGTTAAAATGTAGGTCATTCAAGTATATTAGAAAATCTTAGCATGTGCTCAGGCCTTCAACAACAATTTTCTGGAAAACCTAAATTTACACCAGTTATATTTCACTGCAATGGTTATTATCACAACTTGATTCCCACCAAGAAAGTGTCTGCCTGTCTGCCTGCCTGCCTGTGGCACTGGTAGATTCTCTTAAGTATGACAATTCTCTTGACACAAGAAGATAAACAAACACATTGGTACTAAAAGTAATCTACTAAACACAACTTAGCTGTGGTTTCAACTTCCCAAGTAATAAATTGGTATCATGCCCCAAAGAGGTGTCACGTACTTTCAAAGACTAAAATATGAGATGTTCTAAAAAAAAAAAAGAGTACAATTATGTACACTGAACAGTGAAAGCCGTTAAAAATGATGCATCAGAATACCTGACAATTCTTGTTTTACGAACGAGAGCACTGCCAGGTAAACTTGACAGTCGGCTATGATTATCTGCCTCTGAAGTCGATCAACCATGGACGGGGTGGATTTTCGGACATCAACCTGTTTGGTGGGAAGGAAGTACGCACTGATAAATCACACATAAGAACAACATTCTTTCCAAATATCTAGTAATTAATTGTGCAAAATAATTTCCTTGAACCATGGCAGTGACTACAAGCAAGACCAAATTTATGCTATGAGCTTGGTAGTTCTGTATTGCCATTAGGTCTAGCTGAAGACTGTAACTCAAAGACAGATATTCTAAATGGTAAAAACTGAATTCATGGGAAACAGGAGAGCCAACCAAGAACTTCAAGGTTTTAACTTTTTCAAAACTATGTAAATTCTTACTTATCTAAAATAAAAATCACTAAAGGGACAAAACATTCCCCAAAGTGGATTATCTGAAAAGCCACTGTGTAGCCATCTACCTTCAGGCACGACTGATATTAAGGTTCTTTTCTCGGGCTCACTGAGATGTGAGGATCGGACACTGGTTACATTTTGTTTAGGAGAGAATACTCCAGAATTAAAAATGAGCTTTGACTGAATCGCAAATTGAACGTGAAATGTGGGTCATAGTCTAAAGTGATTATCTTTATAAAATAATAATTTATATCCCTCGCTAGAAGTTGCCAAATAGCAGGTCATTTAAGTATATTAGAAAATTGGTGCTCAGGACTTCAATAATAATTTCAGGCCTTCAAAAACAACCAAAAAAAGTACTTTTTATAAGATACTGGTCTTTCTGGTATTGGTCTTCATGGTAAAGAATGTTTCTAAACGAAGGAAAATCACTCTGCAATAGAACACTGCGTTCTGAATACAAAGTAAACTTGACGGCATTTCCTCGGCTTTCACACTGATGTAAGAAGTGATAGGATTTTGCGAATATAACCACAGTACATAGTTTACATGACAGAATGACGGGTCCCCCTTTTTCTGGGTTAGCATAATTCATCACGGTCATAGTTATTCCTGATCTGGTCCCAGCGCTCATTATTTTTGTTTGCTTAGGCAATTTCTTTGCTTGTAATAACATCTACTCTGTAGTGTTGTTGGAAGGGCTAATGAGATACTGTATGTGAAAATGCTTTTTAAATTGCAAGGATCCATTACAAATGTTAATGATGGACATGTGTGCTAGGCATGGTGCTAGATACTGAAGACAGACATGTAAATAAGTTTACAGTCTAGCGAGGGAATGCTGATCTTTTTGCTATGTAATGTAGTAAGTGCTCTGAAGGATCAAGTACAAGGAACAATGGAAACCTGTAGAAGACACACTAAGGCAAGAGTACTTGGAGAAAAGATCTAAGGAGGAGGAGGAGTGCAAACCAGGTCAAGAGGGAGGAGCACGTTCCAGGCAGAGGAAAAGTAAATGCCAAGTCAGCCACATTAAGGAACTCAGACTTTATTGTCATGGCAGTAGTGAGGGATAGGAACACCGAAAATGAAGCCAGCAACATGTTATTTGCATTCCAGGGGATTGTATGATGAAGAATGACTCCGACAACAGTAAGAGTAGAGGCAGAAATTCCAGTGAGGGTTGTCTTAGGCAAGTAGAGATGGCGGTGAACCTCAGAAAATGGCAGGAGGATGGGGATCCCACAGTACATGAATTTAGAAGGTATTTAAGAAACAGAGTCAACAGAATTTAATCATTGATTAGATCTGGTCAAGTTTGGAGAGAGGAGAATCAAGAAAAAGTCTAACCCTTCTCGAGCATCAGGAGACAATACTCGTGGCCCACCAGTGGCTTCCCTCACGGTGAGCACCTGAAGCAGAACAGAGATGAAGCAACCTGGACTGACACGAAGAAGAAAGGACAGGTGGTTTATGACTATATCCAGACTGGTTTGTCAGCTCAATATGCGACATATGTGAGACTGGGCACTCCAGAAATATCGGGGGTAGGTGGATGCCTCTCCAAAACCTAGGACTTTTGCACTGGAAGGTAAAAGAAGAATCAGGAAAAGTAGATTATGACATTATTGACATTATTTGTAACCAAAGGCTGGTGAGGCCTAGGGAAAAGTAGGTAAACACCCGAATTCCCAAATTGTGCCAAAATGCAACATAGTTGAATTACATACACTAAAGCCTCACAAAGCCTCTGCCATGTGGCCCATCGTGGGAGAAGATGACTTTAAGATATCAAAGGAACATGCACTGAATGGCTCCAAAGACTGCAGGGAGCTCTCTTGTTTTAAGAAATACATCCTACATAACCAAAAGCCTTAAGAAAGATCTAGTGCTTTCAGTCATATTCTAAATACCAAGACAAGAAAATGAGCAATGTCCTAAATGAGGGGCACACAGTCCGTAACCTAAAGACACAGTACTTACATTCTTCTTAATTTTATTCTTGATTGTTTCGATTACTCCAGCCTCCTCACTCTCACACAGCTTTTCTGTGGTTTTTAAGTCATCACATGCCAACTGCATCTTTTCTTCCTCAAATGTCATCATGGCATTCTTCCAAGAAAGAAACGAGGACAATGAATGAATGAATCAGTAAGTGTGTGAAAATTTACACCAAGTTTTACAACAAAACTCCAAACTATAAAAACATTTAAATTATTTTTTGCAAGTAAAAGAATCAGAATGTTACATCATACTGTATTCATTTAGAAAACCACAACGCTACCATCTCAGTATTAAATAAGAATATACCTCTATTACACCAGCATAAAACAAATGCGTGGTGATGAATGCCCTTGCACTTACTGTTCTACAATGTTTTTTTAGTTAAAAACACAGCAACAAAAACCCTGTATAATTTCTGATTGGTCCACTTGATTCAGTTTTTTGTTTGTTTTTTGTTAATTCTTTCCAATGATTTTTAGATAGAATGGAAGGAAAAGAGGGAGAGAGAGAAACATCGATGTGAGAGAGACACATTGATTGGTTGCCTCCCGCATGACCCCAACTGGGGCCAGGGATAGAACCTGCAACCCAGGTACATGCCAATAACTAGGAATAGAACCCATGACTCTTTGGTCCTTGGGCTAATACTCTAACTGCTGAGCCAAACCAGTCAGGGCTTAATTCCGTGGTTTTTTTTTTAATCCTCGCCCGAAGATATTTTTCTATTTAACTTCAGATAGAGTAGGAAAGAGAGACAGGGAGAGAGAGAGAAACATGGATGTGAGAGGAACACATCGACTGGTTGCCTCCCGCACGACCCCAACCAGGGCCAGAGATGAAGCACAACCGAGGTACGTGCCCTTGGCCGAATCGAACCGACTCATTGGCCTGCGGGCCGACGCTCTGCTGCTGGGCCAAACTGCTCAGGGCTATTCAGATTTTATAACAGAGTCTCATTGAAAAGTGTACTCTACCCACACATGGATGGCTGGCTCCATCAAGTATTGCATAAAAACACTAATGCAACATCAGCTAGCAGGTGTTCTTTAAAATTCAGTCTTTTCAGGGATAGCAATTACAATGGGTTCGCTTATAGGGAACTCCTGTTGTCCACAGTGAAAAATTCCGACAGCTTGTTTCCAAGCAGCTGGTCCTGGTAGATTTTTTTCAAGCCACATTTGACTAGGTAGGGGCAATCCCTTCGGTGAAAACCTGCTATTTTCACCCAGCAGAATTGAGGTTTCCGAAATGAATGGGCTACAGGGGCAGAGACCAGACACAGGTTCTTGGAAGGACCTAACGAATTAATTTCATGTAGCTCTCCATTCCCTACCACACTCAGCCAGCCCCACCTAGGCACTTAGGCCTCCTCAGCATGACGCTAACCTACTTTTCCAATCTAGCCAAACAAGACCACGGACACCTCTACCCAAGTCTCCCCACCACACTCTTCCCAACTAAATCTCAACACTGATGCCGCCTCCCTCCCCACCCACCTCTTCCAGCCAGCTAAGCTTCTGGCTGTGTCTCCATCACGTGAGACTCCCAACCCAACCAGCACTGCTTTGAGGTAGGGACCTCTGTTTTCTTGCAAAAAAAGTATACTTTAAAAATTTTGTTGTATTACCTGGCAATAATATATATATAAAAAAAATAGCTTGAATGAAAATCCACGTCACCAGAAGCTGGCCTGGTGTCTGTGGCTGGGCACTGCCAGGTGCAGACAGCACACCTGTTTGCTGACATCTTTCTAAATTTGGGATCTAAATGCTTCTTCTATTTTACTTCTGCTGGTCTCTACTCATGACTTTTCTTTTTTTTTTATTCTTACCCGAGGACATTTTTCAATTTTTTGTTCAGGTAGACTGGGAGGACGGAAGGGGGAGAGAGAGAGAGAGAGAGAGAGAGAGAGAGAGAGAGACAGACATCGACGTGAAAGGGACACATCGAGTGGTTGCCACCCGCATGACCAACCAGGGCCGGGGACAAACTGAAACCGAGGTACGTGCCCTTAGCGGGAACCGAACCCGGGTCTCTCTGGACCGCAGGCCGACGCTCTAACCGCTGAGCCAAACCAGGGCATGACTTTTCTTTTTGCTGTTACAATTCTATGATGGTTTTTATTATTTTTTAAAATCCTCACCCAAGGGGGGGCGGGGGCAGGCATCGATGTGGGAGACACACTGACTGGCTGCCTCCCAACCAGGGCCTGGGATGAACCACAACCGAGGTACGTGCCCTTCACCGAAATTGAACCTGCGACTCATTGGTCCACAGGTCAACACTCTAACTGCTGAGCCAAACCAGCCAGGGCATGATGGTTTCTTAAAAAGTAGTTTATGTGATGTTTCTGAAAAATAAAACATCCAATTTTCTACATTGCCCAATTTACTTGAATACCTAACTGCAACCTATTCCCTCAATTCCTAAATATTAAATTACATTTGAAAATGCAACAGTAACTGACAAACTTTAGCTCTACTAGTTTAACTTGTCTTCCAGTCCACGTTTATTCAATAATTTTATAGCAAACTTTTATTTATTCAAAGTCTGATTTTTTTTTTTTACTATAATGCAGCTTTAATTTTTGGAAAGATCCTTCCATTTCATTTTATTTAAAATGAATTTTGGTTGGAAAAACTAGAATACTCTGCAAAGTATAAGCATTTTATTTTTTAAATTAGTAGAGAAGAGGGTATCTTATAGGTGTTGGTTAAAAGGCAAAAACTTTACTCCAGTTTTAAACTCTAAAAGATGTTTCACAAATTCCAGACACAAGTAAGTAGGGAACAAATTGACTAACCTCAGAGGGAAGGGGGGTGGTGGGATGGGAAGAGAAAAACCAAAGAACTTATATGCATGTAGGCATAACCAATGGACACAGACAACAGCGTGGTGAAGGAAGGCGGGGGGCTTGTCACTGGAGGGGGGGGGAGAAGGGACATCTGTAATACTTTTAGCAATAAAGATATATAAAAAAGTAAAAAGAGCCCTGGCCAGTTTGGCTCAGCGGTTAGAGCGCTGGCCTGCGGTCTGGAGAGACCCGGGTTCGGTTCCCGCTAAGGGCACGTACCTCAGTTGCAGTTTGTCCCCGGCCCTGGTTGGTCGTGCAGGTGGCAGCCACTCAATGTGTCCCTTCACGTCGATGTTTCTCTCTCTCTCTCCCTTCCTCTCTCTCCCTCCCACTCTATCTGTACAAAAAATGGAAAAATATCCTCGGGTGAGGATAAAAAAAAGTAAAAAGATCTCTCACAATAGTACAGCTATATAGCCAGTGGTCACTAAAGATGTATGTTACGTATTCACTTCCCCCACGCCGGTACCTCTCCCCTGCCAACTTACCAGAAAACTGACGAAACTGGCTCCGAAGCTCATTAACGGGCTATGATTTCTGTTAAGAAAACAAAATAAAATTGTAAACTTTTATTTTATAAACATTTGCTATACCGGGCTCATGATACAGTCCTAATAACTAGAGAGAAGGTAAGGTCTTCAAGCAGATTAAATTACCCTAGGAGAAAAGTTAAGATGTAAGGAGGTTCACAGGTCTGTCTACCAAGACAGAACAGAACGTGCCTCTGCTTCCTCCAAGTCAGGCAAACCAAAGTCAAATTATCAGACAGACTGCCTCAGTAAGCCAAACCCACATCTACAAACGCATGGCCAAATAAACATGAATAATTTTCATTTTTAAAATGCAAAACATATTCAAAACTTTATACACACAAAATAAGTGTCATTTTTAGAGCAGATCAAAGGGTTTACCACTGGTCCTGACCAAGCAAATTCCCTCATCCCTTCCAAAGAACTTTAAGAATGCTTCCCTGGAGCCAGCCACCCCTCACTGTGATGCACGGTCATCATCCAATTTCATATGTGAGCCAAACAGGAAACCAAATTGAATTATTACCAATTCAATTTAAAGAATATAAACTTTCTGCTTTAAATCCACAACCAAATCTCTGTAAATTGCACTAAAAGGAAAAGCAAGTTAAAATTGCCTTCTTAAAGGAAAATAATGTTTATTCTGTACATAGTATATGGTCATCATTTGCAAAAAAGGCAAGAACAATGTATTTAGTCAATCTTCTACTGAAAATTTAGTTGGTGTCCAAAGTGAGTGTGTGTTTGGGGGCAGGGGAGTATGAGAGGGAGAACACGCACACTAACATGTATACACATGTACATACACACACACACACCCAGGGCTGTTGCACACCTTTGTACATATATCTTTGGGAGCAAGACCAAATACACTCTCGGGATGAATTGGTAGAGGAAGCACTGCCGAGCCAGGTGCTACGCACATCCATTTTCCTCCTGGAGTGTGGCGCACTTGTGGGGGTGGGGGTGGGGGAAGGGGATGGGGAAATGGGGATCAGAAACTCAGTTTATTTGGAATGTTAACCTTCTGCTACAATATTTTCCATTTTTTGGTGCCTATTCAAATTCAAACAGCAGCCTGTTTATATCCCTCCCCCAGGACTTGATAGGATATTTAAAACTACAAGAAAAAAATCAGGAAGGTCAATGCACTTGTGTTGCGCACTCACAGCCATAAGCCCAGCTCGAACAGCACAGCTAATGTCACGAGGTGACGTCTCAGCATCCCCACACTCCGCACCAGAACCGCTGTTAGTTTTCCCAGTCCACAGCTGTACACAGACCATTGCAGGCTCCCCCCAACTATGTGTAACTTGGATGCATATCAGTGTCCCCTCCAGACTGTTATGTCCTGCCTCATCCCTCACCATCATGCCTTACACACAGCAGGCATGTGTGTCATTCATCCCTTCACATTCAACACTCGAACCAGGGAAGGGATGAATGGCGTGGACTCTGTCTCCCAGGGGCAGGCGCATCTCCAGCAAGTGCTGATATATAGAATGGCTGTCCCCTTCTGGTCCCTTTCCTTGCTCGCATGTTAACACTTTGCCATTTAAGAGATGAAAGAAGCTTAAACGACAGCCTAGTGCTGCTACATGTGCTTGTTCTTGACTAAAATTAGGTTTCTGATTAATAAAAATTGGGTTTTATTAATCATCCATGGTACCCTAGCCCAGTCCTTAGTACTTCGTAGTCTGTATTAGTTTCAGATGTACACTGTAGTGGTCAACCATATACTTTACAAAGTATTCACCCCGACATTTCAAGTACCCACCTGGACCCATACATAGTTATTACAATATTGACTATATTCCCTAATATCTTTGTGACTATTCTGTAACTACCAATTTGAATAACTTTGTACTTCTTTTTGTACCAATTTGTACCAGTTTGTACCAATTTGTACTTCTTAATTCCTTCACCTTTGCATTTCATATACCATCATATGTAAGTGTTAAACCAGCTCAACAGAAACATTTTTTCCTCCTTAAAGCATGGTCTCTGTAAACCTCGCAGCACCTGGGTACATCAGACACTCTATAATGAACTCATCAATAAGCAGTGTCTTCTCACTTGCTGCACAATATCCAGTGTTATAAGAACTTTCTCTAACAAGATTTGCTTGTTTCATTTGCTTGTTTTTTGTTGTTGTTGTTAACCCTCACCTGAGGACATTTTTCCATTGATTTTTATATAAGAGTGGAAGAGAGGGAGGGAGAGAGACACATCGACTGGTTGCCTCCCACACAACCCTGAGCCCCCAGCCAGGTACATGCCCTTGACCAGGAATCGAACAGGAGATCTTTCAGTCTGTGCTAACCGCTGAGCAAAACTGGCCAGGGCTGCTTGGGTTTTATTAACACACATACTTCAAGAGACCTTATGTTAATTTACCTTATCTTAATCAATTTTGGCCCACACTTTTTTTTGTTACAGAAAACATTCATTTTGGAGATCTGGAAATGTTCCCAAAGACTATAAGGATCATTACTCAGAACCGATGCTCTGGGAGAAGTAAGAGGCTCCTAGCTCATTTCAACACGCTCAAGTTAGAAATCAACAAACTATGACCAAACATGAGGGGTTGAGTATAAAGGTAAATTTTAGAGCCCAGATACAAACCTTTCCAGATACCAGATGATACACAAAAAAAGAAGTGTGAACAAGTGAAATAGCCACAGGGTGAAAACCTCATTATTTAAAAGAAGGGAAGATATACACATTATACGAATTTCCTGACATTGAAAATTACAATGATATTGTAATGTTATAATGATAACCCATAACTTGTTTTATTTTTTTATTTTTTTGGTACGTGCCCCTAGCGGCAACCGAACCTGGGACTCTCTGGTCTGCAGGCCAGTGCTCCAACCGCTGAGCCAAACCGGCCAGGGCCCATAATTTGTTTTAAATGAAAGCCTACAGAGTAAGGGGTAGAAAAGGGAAAAAACAACAGGGATAGAAACAAAACTTTTTTTTAAGAGACATAATGGCACAGGACCAATTATTTTATCGTCCCTAAATTTATCTGTTTTATATATTCTTACTTTCACACGTTAGAAAACAGAGCTAACCTGACTGCCCAAGTAAATCTATTTGAGGGCCACTGAAATGGCAGGGTTTATGGACACAATTTCTACAAATGTACACAGCAACAATTTCACCAATTATCTCTGCACTGTTACTCATATACTTTTTTTTTTAAAAGTGTTGACACTATTTCATATGTCCCCTTTCTGCCCCTCCTTTGCCTACCTCCACCCAGCCCCATCCTGTCTTCCCTCTGGCCATCAGTACACTGTTGTCTGTGTTTACGGGTTATGCCTATGTGTTCTTTGGTGAATCTTTTCATCTTCTTTCATCCAGTCCCTCCCCTCCCCCCTCCCCTCTGACAGCTGTCAGCCTGTTTCATGTATTCATGTCTCTGTGAAACAAAGCTTCTTTATATATACTTTGTTTTGTAAGTTTGACTTTGGAACCATGCAAATATTGCACATCATAAGAACACCAAATTAATTTTTTATAAAGCAATGCCTAAAAATAAAAAGTAAAATGAATTAAACATATCTAAATGCAAATCCAACTGGTAAAATAACTACACAAAGAACTATTACAAGAGACTTTTGAAACAGTAATCTGACAGGACATCCCTATTGTGAAATAGTCTTAAAAACAGACCCCAAAAGATGGTAAATATTTTTCAAATCTGTTATTCATAATAATATTCTTACCAGTCAAGTTGGAATTGCTAGAGTATAAGGCTGTCGGGTTTGTAGGTAAAACCCGACAGCCTCATAGCAATGTGTAGGCATGGTGGTGTTTATTGAGACCCAGGATTCTGTGCATAGGAAAAAGCATGCAGTTAATTAAAAATCTTGTAGTCCAGAATATGCACTGAAGATCAATGCAAACTCATTTTGTTTTTAAAGAAGAATGTATGGGAGGATAAATGGTGATGGAAGGAGATTTGACTTGGGTGGCGAACACACAATATACAGACGATGTATTACAGAATTGTACATCTGAAACCTATATGACCTTATTAACCAACGTCACCCCAATAAATTCAGTAAGAGATAGATATTTTCTAGTTCTGTCTACTAAAAAGCCTGGAAACAATGACCACCCAGTAGCACTGAGCATGCCTAGCAGCCTCTCTAAATATATTTAGTAAAGGGGTAAGAAATATTTAGGAAGAGCTTAGAACATCTTGTTATAGCAGAAAGGAAGAAAGTTTTAAAAATATATTAGGTTTTGAAGAGGTTCCCACTAGCCAAACATGGAACGATTTGATCATCAATGAGGGTAAATATAATAATGGACTGAAATATCAAACAAGTTTAAACCACAGCTCACAATTTTAATTTAAAAACAAAAACAAAAAAAAAACACCCTCATTGACTACCTATGGAGAATCCTTGAGAACCAACTCATCATTCTGAAAACTGATTCAAAAATTTAAGAATAACCATTTACCACCCTGACTTTTCTCTATGAAATCAGAGTAACTAATTATTGGGGGGCAGGGTTCTCTTTACAAAAATATTCTGGGCTAATACATGAAAAACAAATGAAAGACTAATCACAGTATCTCATTTTGGAGCTTCTAATGAATCACTGAACATAAGCAATGATCATAAAGACAGGGGAACACATTAAACACCAACATGCTGATATGAGCAAAATCCAAGCTGTGGGAAGTTCTACAGGAAAAAGATCCTAGTTTCTTCAACAAAAATAAAAAGGTGTATGGGGGGGTGGGAGAAACTAAAATAATTTCTAAAATGAAACAGCAGGCATAAAAACACATGTAAGAGACATACAAGATAATATATATATATAATATATATACATACATACATACATATATATACACACACAAAATATACCTAAACACATATATACACGCATTAGCAACAATTAGGAAATGAAACGAAAATCATCCACAATAGCACCAAAATATTAATTATCTAAAGATAACTCTAACAAAGATGTATAATATTG